CCAAGAAAATGGAATTCTAGACAGAACAGTTTGTAGCTGGAAATAAATAGACCAAGATGTTACCATGTTGTATAGGACTATGAGAGACCTTTAAGAAGGCTAAATTTGATAACAAAATGAAGCTCACATTATGGAGATAAACAACCGAGCCTGAAGACTATCATTAGGATAAAAAACCTATTGTTCAAATTTTCTCCTTTCCAAAGAAGACAGTTTACCTGTGCATCAAGTGCAGTGACCAAAACTTGAGGATAGTACATGTGGAGGATACTCCAACCTCACCTCCATCACTCTAATGATAAAATTTTTTTCTAAAAAATAATAATTATAATGTACTCTTACACACAAGAGGAAACCAAACTAGTAAGCCAAGAAGAAGATAACTAGTGCATGAAATGACAGTTTAGCTCATAAATGTCTTTCTAATACCATTTATCTGAATATCTGCAGTTCCACAAGAAAGGAAAGAAAATCAAAGTCATCCATAGGCAAAATGCCGAACGGTTCTTCTGTAGTTGAAAGATAAGCACACAAAATTCACATTCCAGCAAACGACGGATTGAGTGACGTTGTTTTAATTCCTATTAGCTATGGCACTACCCATGCCAGTACTTGATGAAAACTCATGCCAGCCTTTATGGACTCAGACAAAAGAACTTACTAGTGAAACTCAACCAAACAAACACTGTTTAGCTCAAAGTTTTGAAAAATAGAAAGTTGCTGAAACCCATTAGCTCGAACAGAACCAGACAATATATAGTTCAATTTTTGGTGGTTCTTATAAGCTCAAAGAACATTTCCTTTAGCATTCAGGTTGTCTCTAAACCAGAACTATGGGACCCTTTATAAATAATATAAAGCACAATTAATTACAAAAAACTCCCCCTTTAATAGGTTAGCACTAAGGTCAGTTGCAGATATATCTTCTTGTATACTAATTTATACTTTACCAGAGGGGAACAAGTCACTCAACAATGTTGTCAACAGCAATATCAGAAGCAGCACAAGCAAGAATCTTTAAGCCATGCTTGACTTCTTGTAAGATAATAATTTCCACTACAGCTGCACTTTTCCCAGGTCCAGGAGATCCATGCAGCAAAACTACATCCTTTGTTGACAAAGCTTTTGAAATGGCATCCTTCTTGGTAAAATGAAATTAAATTAAGTCAGGACTAAGGAAAAAACAGAAATCAATGGTGCCTTCATTTTTAAGATGAATAATAAAAACCTACTAAATTGGAGACATCTATATATGGTAGCAGTTATGTATAAGGCTACCAGGAATGCATTCAACCACAGGAAAAAGAAAGGGGAAAGGAAAAAGGTAAACATTAGTCATCTGAAAAGAAAAAGCACAAAGAAAGTAAGCAATTACAAACCTGATAGTGATAAAGGTTAGAGTTAAAAGGGTCTAACGTCACATCCTTCCTTGACAATGTTGGCAATCTCTCACCAGACAAGAAGGAACTAGATCCGCAGCTGGCACCGATAGCAAACCTTTACTCAGTTCTATAAAGGCATCCTTCATCCTAGGATGTAATCTGCACAGCAAATGAATTTGGATTTTTTTCCAAGCTTAAATAAGTAAAACATAGTAACAAAATTGATTACAGAATCAATCTTAGGGAAGAAAGTGTGGTACTGAACCTTCTATACTAGTTCCATTATATTCAGTCTTGTAAAGATGTGACAGTATGAATCACAACACAGTTTGACTTCTATGTGACAATATAAATCGAAGTTTGACTTCAGCTAGATTCCTCTAAGGTCCACACTATGAAGTTCAGCATAGAGCACCGAAAGGCCATTTGAGATGCAATAACCAGAATTCAAGCTCACTAAAACACATCATCAGTTCAAGGGAATCATTGTCTACCTCACATAACAATTAAAGCCAATATGAGAAGCAGAGAAGCTATTGAAGAATTTTAACAGCATACCCCCATTTGACTCTTTTTCTAGATATAACGGACAGTTTAAATCTTCTTCTTGGATGTTATCAAAAGCAACAGTGATTAAAGAATCCTGTTCAACATGCACATAAAATCAGTGGCACAAGAGTTCAGGGGAATCACACATAACTAGGAACAACAAAATCAAATTAGTAATAACCCAAATGTCTTTCAAATGCCACAATTACCTTTATCCAGTAAACTACACTTTGTCCAAGAGCTCCTGAATCAGCCATGTTCAGTTTAATGCGGCTACATCGTGGGTGCCAAACTGCATTGCCAAAAAAAAGGGAAATTCATCATCTCCAATCTCCACTTTAGCAGACATTATACCAGATAGTCATGATCAGGCAGACAAAACACAATCCAGCTCAAGCATTACTAACTTACTTTTTGGGCCATATATGATATTGTGTTTTTCATTTTTCCTCCTTTTTCCTTTTTATTTTCACTAACAATGATACAAGTTATTTGATTAAGCAACTGCATTTCACCCCAAAATTCCTATAAATAGAATGACTAATCTGACATTTACAAGAAACACAAACTTCCATTGGTTGCATGAGTATGACCCAAATCCAACACACACAATGTTAATACAATTGAGTTCGAAAAAATCCCAGGACCCAGAAGACCTAACTAAATAGACCATTGTAATTTGTAACAGCAACTGGAACTCCATAATTCAGCTAAAAGATAAATCATGCTGATATTTGGGAAATTCAAATCTATGGCATTTTTAATAGCAAAAACTTGAGGAAGTTGTGCAATTATCAATTCGACTGAGTCAAAAACATTAATGATGGAAAACCCAAAACGAAAGATTGGCAGCAGCCACTCTTACCAGTTACAGAAAATGATACAACACACAACTCACTACAAATTAAGAATTGCAGAGCCCCACTTTGAGAACTATCCAAATTCCTTGATGCCCATGAAGAGATAGAAGTGGATATCTAAGCTTCCTGATTCAACAAAAAGAAGTCAGTTAATTAATCCATACTTCGTCCATGTTCCTTTTTATCTCATTTTGCAGTTCATGAATTAACAATTTCTAGAAGTAAAAATAGACCAAAGCGAAGATGAACCCCACATCGATCAGAGGAGCTATGGTGAAGATGAACTGTTGCAGAGTGACAATAGGCGATTTCTTCTTCATCTTCTTCATCAAGAAAATCAGCGCCACCAAGGAGTGAATTCACCGAAAGGGTAGAAGGACATCCTTTGGATTGGGATGGTCCAACTCCAACGATTCCCACCATTCTTGTGGCCATACTACGATTTGTTTGAGGGAAGGAGGAGGAGATAGTTGTCCGTTATCAAGGAGGGGAAGATAAAGAGGGATCCTCCTTATGCCCTTGCAATTCTTGATCCAAACCACTTCAAGAGAACTACACACCATTACTGCCCTCCTGCTACAGATGCTCTTCAATTCGGGCAAGTACATCAATCAATGTCAAACTTTTTAATTTTGGAAGAACGAGTTGGGTGACCCCTTCTTTTTCTTCTCCTGCTTCTTCTGCATCCCATGCTATTATTTCTTCCATCTGTTGGCAATAAGCAATGCTAATTTCTTCTAGACTTTGGAGATGCATCCGAAAGGGGGAACAACTTCTTTATTTTATCACACTGCAGAACACTATGTTTTAAGATATGAAAAAGAGGCTGGTGGCAGTGGTGACTTGGTAATTGCCTCTGCTTCAAACAGCGCATCCAACTTTTTCAACGTATAAAGATCCAGAACCTCAAGCTTTTGGACCATTGGATTTATGGATGGGGAAAGAACGAGATTTTACATAAGTACATCATTTTTAAAAATTTTTTTAATTAAGGGTATTATTTTTTTATTAAATTAATTAAGATTATCACTTTTTAAAAATTTTTAATTAAAAATATTATTTGTTTAATTTTACTATTTAAGAATTAATTGAATATCAATGCTGACTTGGCAAACAGATTTCGTCTGTGAAACCCACTAAATTGTTGATGCGTAAAAAATTAACAAGTGGCTGCCCGACTTGGAGCTGATTTGGACAATATAGAATTCTTAATGAATAGTATCGGCACCGAAACATGTGGTGTCGGCACTGAATCCGCATCGGCAATTCTTCGTGATGTTTAGAAAAAATTAATTAAAATTACAGTAAAATAAATTAGTAAATAAATTTTAAAAAGATTGAAGTTGCCTACAGAAACCCTTTAAAATAACTTTTTGAAAGTTAAAATAATAATATTTTTACACTGATCAAAACATTAAAAAATTATAAAAAATTTAAACTCTTACTTTATTTTTCATGATCAATTGAAAAAATTATACAACTTTAAAGAATAATTTGTTACTGGAGATCTTTTTATTTGTTATTTTCATAATGTCAAGGTAAAATTATTTATTTTATTCTTTTTTTTTTTAAATAACTCTCAAGGAATTGTTTTCAATGTAAAAGATGCATTCTTTAACTCCCAAAAAAGTGAAGGTGCAAAAAACAATGGAAAAATGTGAGTTTTTTTTTATATATATTGATATTATTACAATATTTAAAAGTATGTAAATATGTAATATCATATTCGTGTAATTTTGTATTTTTTGTCATGCAAAGATTTTGGAAAGCTTATACAAAAAAGACAAAACAAAAACAATCATGATCTTCCAAGTGAATTATCTATCTCTCTATACAGACAACTTTCTTTACAGGCAACAAAATGCTTTACACAGAAATCAAAATTTTCAAATATAGACAAGCCATGACGACTTAAATTTGTTATTTTTACTAATATAGTTATTAAAAATTCATTATGGTATATTGAATAAATTTGGTTAAATACCTTTTTTGATCCCTCTACTATAAGAAAAAGTCTTTTTTTGGTCCCTATACCGAAAAAGTCTTTTTTTGGTCCCTATACCGAAAAAGTCTTTTTTTGGTCCTTACTGTTCACAAATTCAGCCCCTTTTTAGTCATTCCGTTAATTTTTGCTTACATGGTACATTAACTTAACTAAAATAGTTGACGTGGGTATGCCAACATGTAAAAAATGCTTACTTGGATTTAATGATACCCTCCACGTCTCCCTCCACATCACTCTCCCAGTACGGGAAAAGAGAAAATTACTAATTTACCCCCATCTTCTTCCCCATCCTCTCCTTCCTCTAGGCTTTTTTTTTTTCTTTTACCTCCAGGCAAACCCAGCTCCAATCTAGGTCGCGAACCCAGGTGCGACCTGGATTCATTGTTCATGGGTTCGTAAAAAACCCAGGCTTGGGTGGATTCATCTTGGGTTCTTGACAAACCTAGGTGCACACTGGGTTCTTCGTGAACCCAAGACCAACCCAGCTCATGCCTAGGTTCCTGACGAACCGAGCGCAATCTGGGTGGGTTCGTCTTGGATTCACGACGAACCCAGGTGGGCCTGGGTTCCCGTCTACAATGCCTTGAAGAACCTAGGTGGGCGCTACAGGCACTTCTCCAAGGCATTGTAGAAATCTAGAGTCAGCAAACTATTGTCAAAATACTCCTCAACGAGCTCAAAATCACCCCCTACTACCTCAATAATCAAAAATTAGCAATCCATTAAAAACAAGAAATCAAGATTATCATGTTCTTTTTCTTTAAAACAAAGTAGAATTTGACTCCTAATCAACTCAAAACACTTTCCAAATTCCATCTCCATATTCTTCCAGCTATTCTACAACAAATCAACCAAAACCGAGCACGATTTCATAACACATTCAAAGAAAACACGATCTAAACTATAGAATGTGTTTCAATCGAAAGAAAGAAGGTAAAGAACTAAAGGAAACATAAAGAAAGCGGCAGTGAGTCCTCGGTTCTGACAAAATAAAAAAGTTGGCAAACAGAAACCGAACGAAGATCCCAGAGTTCGATCAAAAAGAAGAAGAAAAAGAACCCAGGGCTCGTTGCGGGTTTCGCAAACCCAGCAACTGGGTTCCGCGAGGAACCCAGATTTGGGTTTCGTGAACCCAGGTCTTGGGTTCCTCATGGAACCCCCTTGCTGGGTTCACGGAGGAAGAAGGTTGGGAAAGGGGAAGGGGGTTCGCGGAGGAAGAAGGCTGGGAAAGAGGAAGGGGTGGAGGGATAAGAGAGAAGAAGGGAGGAAGAAGAAGAATAATAATATAATAATAATAAATTATGTGGGTTTTTATTTAAATATGAAAAAAATACCACATGAAAAAAGAGAAATGCCATCTCATCAAGTTTGTTTTAGCATAATTATAATTTAAATAAAAACCTATAAAGTCACATAATTTATTATTATATTATATAGATAAATAAAACCTATAATTAATAAAAAAATGAAAA